TTAGGACTTTTTCTTATTGCCTTGGAGTGATTGGAGGTTGTTTTGTTGTATTTTTTGTTTTGTTTTTATAACTCAAGGGAATTGTATGGTTTGTTTTATATGCATCACATTGTAAATGTATGGCTATGCAATTGTTGTTAACAACCAAATAAACAAAGTTTGGAAAAAAAAAAAGGTAAAGCTCCCTGAAGGAGGTGGTCTAATTCCGTTTTTTTTGGCCTTATCCTGCAGATGAGATGAAGCGGAGGCGGGACTTCTACGCGGAGAACCGCGTCCTGGAGCCCGGAGAGGTGGTGGAGACCTTCAACATAGCGGAGGACGAGATCATCAGTCTGTCCATCCAGTTCTACGAGAGGAACAAGTGAGTCCATCCGGCCAATCAGAGCCTGTTCTGCATCAGAATCACAAATACTTCAATAATCCCAGAGGGAAATTATTTTTGTTACTAGCTCCATAAATAAAACAATGGCATATACATACATACAGTACATGTCTATACATATATACGAATAAATCACTTTATATCTATTGATCACTTTATATCTATTATATCACACAATTTTCTTATTATATGTCCAATTTATCTAACTTATCTCATTTATGTCTGTGTCCGCACAGGAAAGCAAGAAACGAAATTTCAATTCTTTTTATGACCAACGCATGTAAAGAAATTGACAATAAAAGCCTACTTGACTTGATATATACAAAATTCCACATAGAATATAGATCAAATATATACATATATATACATAAATAGCTATATGTATATGCCTGTTACTCTCCGTCCCTTTGAGCACTTTATTCTGATTTCCTTTAAGTTGGTTTTTGACACATTTCCTCCATTTTTGTTTGTTTTAGTGACACAAACTGTCAAATCTCTCGTCTTTTTAAAGACAAACCCAGTCATTTTGGGCATTTCTGCCACCCAGTTTGACTAGTTTGCATCTCTCTGTCCTCTGGAGGAATCTGTGCCCCATACTAGGCTGGTCCCGATCCAATATCTGGATCAGATATTTACAAAAAACTGCGTATTTGCCGGCAGGTCCAGACTCCAGATCCAGTTTTTTTTAAGTCTTATCCCACATTAGCATTAGCATGTGTAACCCACAGGTCTGTGTCTTAACTAGGGATGTCCCCATCCAGCTTTTTTTACTTCCGATCCGATCCCGGCCTATCAGAGCATTTATTAAAGTCTAAAGTTATTTATCTACTGACTTAGTTGTCAGACTGATGTTGAACAGGGATTTACTCTGATAACAACTAACTGAATTAGGGGAGTCTGAATAACACACACTGGTTGGTAAAGAGACGATGACCTGTTTATTCAGGGAGAAACGCAAAATAGACTAAATTATAAATAACAAACAGAAATGGCATCAGTGAACAGTAAAAAGTGTAAATAATATTATAAACTGTGTTAAAAAGGCAAAACACAAAAACAACCTGAATAGAAAATTCAGTTTTACATCCACCTCATCCTCATTTCGTCCCTAAGGATAAAATAATCCCACACAACTGACATTATATTGATGGCTCCACATTAACATGGCCGTCTTAATGGTTAGGACACAGGTATGTGGGTTAGGAGATGCTAATGCTAATGCTAATCCTAAAGGGCCCGGATATCAGGGAACAACACTGCAAAGGTCAATGGATTATTTTAATCTGTGTGCTGGAGAACACTTTTTAGATGGGATTTAAAAAAAACAACAACTGGATCTGGAGTCTGGATCTGTGTTTTTTCTCGCGCAATACGCATTTTTTTGGGAATACCGATCGGATCCAGATATTGGATCTGGACCGGCCTGCTCAAACCCCAGAACCCGACCTGTGTTTCTGTTCCAGAAGTAACGAGAGGCCGCGGCCGGAGCTGGAGGGAGACAAGGTAAAGGACTTTAATAATCCCAGACGGAAATGATTTTTGTTACTAGCTCCATAGATAAAACAACGGCATATACATGCATACATGTCTATACATGTACATGTAGGCCCGGTC